GTGGTTCTAGATCCTTGAGGAATCGCCACACTGTCTTCCACATGGTTGAACTAATTTATACACCTACCAACAGTGTAAAAGCATTCTATTTCTCCACATCCTCTCCAGCATCTGCTGTCTCCTGATTTTTTTAATGATCGACATTCTAACTAGTGTGAGATGGTATCCCAATGTGGCTCTGATTTTCATTTCTCTTAATGATCAATAATGATGAGCTTTTAAAAAATTTATTTTATTCATTTATTTATTTTTGAGACGGAGTCTCGCTCTGTCCCCCAAGCTGGAGTGCAATGGTGAGATCTCGGCTCACTGCACCCTCCACCTCCTGGGTTCAAGCAATTCTCCTGCCTCAGTCTCCCAAGTAGCTGGGACTACAGGTGTGTGTTACAATGCCCAGCTAATATTTTGTATTTTTAATAGAGATGGGATTTCACTGTGTTAGCCAGGATGGTCTCGATCTCCTGACATTGCAATCCGCCTGCCTCAGCCTCCCAAAGTGCTGGGATTACAAGCGTGAGCCACCGAGCCTGGCCCTGCTTTTAAAAAAAAAAAAAAAATTATTGGCCGGCACAGTGGTTCACACCTGTAATCTCAGCACTTTAGGAAGCCGAGTCAGGTGGATCACCTGAGGTCAGGAGTTTGAGACCAGCCTGGTCAACGTGGTGAAATCCCGTCTCTACTAAAAATACAAAAATTAGCTGTGCATAGTGGTACATGCCTGTATTCCCATCTACTCAGGAGGCTGAGGTGTGAGAATCGCTTGAACCCGGGAGGTGGAGGTTGCAGTGAGCTGAGATCACGCCATTGCACTCCAGCCTGGGCGACAGGTCAAGATTCCATCTCAAAAAAAAAGCATTTCTACTTTAAAAGGTAGCATTTCCAATCAACAAGATTTCCTGGTTGAATTCCATAGTCCTTGAGTTTTTCATCTCCTGGAAGCTCCGTGTGGAAAGAGTCTTTTACTAACTTCGGGTTTTTAGTTAGCTGCCTTTAAAGGCTACAGCAATAATAGAACATATCCCCTTTTAATATCATAGATTCACAGTTTCCTAGAAACAATTTAATTCGTGTGCCTGTGATAATTTCAAATGGAGACAACTGACGTTTACCAGAAGGGGTCGATCTTAGGTTAAGCAAAGCCAATGCAAGAGCTTTTGGCCAAAGGAATTTCTAAAACCTCGGTTAATTTTGCTAGTTGAGTTTTGGTGATTCTGTTTGTGCATTTCCCTGTCCCAGATGACTGGAGGGTGGCAGGCACAATGGAAACACTGGAGAATGAGCCAGATTTTACATACTTGCCGGATTATTTGTATAGTAAAATGAGCACGTCTGTCCTCTGTCACTGTGAAGTTCTAGAGGGACTATCCAAGTTGCAATAATTTTTTCCTTTTTTTTTTTTCTGAGAGAGTCTTGCTCTGTCACCAGGCTGGAGTGCAGTGGCACGATCTCGGCTCACTGCAATCTCCGCCTCCCGGGTTCAAGTGATTCTCCAGCCTCAGCCTCCTGAGTAGCTGGGACTATAGGTGCACACCACCATGCCCAGCTAATTTTTTGTATTTTTAGTAGAAATGGGGTTTCACCATGCTGGCCAGGCTGGTCTTGATCTCTTGACCTCAAGATCCACCCACCTCGGCCTCCCAAAGTGCTGGGACTATAGGCGTGAGCTACCACGCCCGGCCAATAATTTTTTTCTACAAGAATTTTACTTATCACTAAGACTGTTGCCCTTCTGTATAGAAATGCTTCCACCCTATGACAAAACATTCAAATCGTTACTAGAACCTACTTATATTCTTGTAATGATGGTAGCTGAATAAAAAATCTAGTTGCCATATCTCAATTGAGCATTTCGGGTAAAGGAAAATGACCCAGAGAATTATGTAGTTTTCCATGGATTGTTTTGGACAGATGTGGCAGCAATTATGTACCTTATGAGCAACAGTTGGAGATTTCTAATAATCTTGTTTGTCCAAACCAATCATCTTATCAGGGCTCCAATGAGTTAAATCATGCACATGAGTTAAGCAGATGACTGTAATTTGGTTGGAAGCATGGACAGCCCACTTGGTCCATATCATAGCCCAGTCTCAGAGAAGTACATTCCCCCTTTAGTTTCCCAATTTTCTAGTTCTGTTTTTGGAGCTTTGGATTGAGCTAATTTTATATCAAAATCAAGTGCCTTCTTAAAAGCTAAAATGGGTTTTCTTGTTGAGATACGCTTAGTACAGGCCTTTTTGCTGTGCTATCTGCTAATTGATTTCCTTTGCTTTCTGGAATATTCAACTTTGAATGGCTTGGAATCTTGATAATAGGTAATGATTTGTGCAATAATAGAGCTTCCAATAATTTTGAAATAAGGTGTCCATTTTTTGTGGACCGCCCAGAAGAGGTTAAAAATCATCTTTATTTCCATAGCATTCCAAAGTAATGAGCTACTCAAAAAGCATATCAGCTATCTGTATATATATTAGCAGTTGTTCCTTTTGCCAGTTGACAGGCTCTAATTAATGCTATTAACTTTGCTTGTTGAGCCAAGGTCTCCCCTGGAAGATAAGCATTTTCTGTTTCCTCAGTCAGGAATACTATGGCATCACCTGCATGGTAAATTTCAGATCTGTCCTTTAAGTAAGATTCATCTGCAAACCAATTAACGTCAGCATTAGTAAGAGGGTTTCTTACAGGTCCATCCTAGAGGAGGAGCTGGTTGGTTAAGATTATGCAATCATGTGGTGTTTCATCTTAAGGGCAGATGAATTTAGAAAAATTTAGACTTTTACATCTGCAGATTGTATTAGGGAGCAGAAAGAAGAACTTTGTATAGGAAGCCAGACTACTAACTGAATAGTGTTGTATGTGGTGCAAGTTTGGAAGTGCTTTGGAATGAAGACCGTGAGGGGGCGATCCTATCGCTGTTGGTTTGGTCACTGTTGTGAACAGGACAGTAGCCACCATAACTGTCTTGCCAGGTTTCAGTTCTTTAGCTGTAGGGTCCAGTTGTTGTTAACTACAGTATCCTACAAGTCTATTTTGATCTCCATGTTTTTTGAGTCAGAATGCCTAAGGCAATTATGAACAAACAATGAAAACGAACTGTTATAATTCAGATGCCTTAACATTGAGACGTCTATAAGACTCTTACATTTCTTCCAGTGTTAGCAAGGGATCGTGGCTCACACCTGTAATCCCAGCACTTTGGGAGGCTGAGGAGAGCAGACCACCTGAGTTCACGAGTTTGAGACCAGCCTGACCAACATGGCAAAACCCCATGTCTACTAAAAATGCAAAAATTGGCTAAGCACGGTGGCTCATGCTTGTAATCCCAGCACTTTAGGAGGCCAAGGCGGGTGGATCATGGGGTCAGGAGTTCAAGACCAGCCTGGCCAAGATGGTGAAACCCCATCTCTACTAAAAATACAAAAATTAGCCAGGTGTGGTGGTGTGTGCCTGTAATCCCAGCTGCTTGGGAGGCTGAGGCAGAGAATTGCTTGAACCTGGAATGCGGAGTTTGCAGTGAGCCAAGATCGCGCCACTGCACTCCAGCCTGGGCGACAGAGTGAGACTCCATCTCAAAAGTAAATAAATAAATAAATAAAATACAAAAATTAGCCTGGTGTGGTGGCACGCATCTGTAATCCCAGCTACCCAGGAGGCTGAGGCAGGAGAATCACGAATCCAGGAAGTGGAGGCTACAGTGAGCTGAGATTGTACCGGGCAACACAAGACTCCATCTCAAAAAAAAATTTCAATATTAACTGATTTCCCTCTGTTCATTCCAGGGGGTCTAGTTTAAAAAGAGTATATAAGGGTTGAGTTTTTAAGGAGTTGTTTGGAAGTCAATTTCTTCAGTATCCTGCAAACTCTAAAATTCTCTCAGTTGTTTCTTAGTTTTGGGGATAGGGAAGGCCAATATTCCTTAATTCTTGAATTGATAAAAAGACCTTCCTTTGATATTAGGTAACCTAAATATCTTACTTGTTTTTAACAGAATTGAGGTTGTTTCTTTGAGGCTTTATGTTTCTTTGAAGCTAATCATTGTAATAAATAAATTCTAACCTCTATCGAGGTTTGTTTATCCCCTGAGCAGAGAAGTCAGTTGTCTCCATACTGTATCAAGGTGTATTCCTTAAGGAAGTCAACATCTAAAAGGTCTGCTATTAATATTTGTGAAAAATAAGTTGGGCTCTCAGTATATCCCTGAGGTATAACTGTCCATGTGTATTGTCTATCTTTCCAAGTGAAAGTAAAGAGAAATTGATTATCTTTATCCACAGGAATGCTGAAGAATGCACTACATAGGTCTCTTACAATAAAGAACACACCTTCAGGCTTGGCGCAGTGGCTCACGCCTGTGATCCCAGCACTTTGGGAGGCCAAGGTAGGCAGATCACCTGAGGTCAGGAATTCAAGACCAGCCTGGCAAACATGGTGACACCCATCTCTACTAAAAATACACAAAAAATTAGCTGGGCCTGGTGGCACACACCTGTAATTCCAGTTACTCAGGAGGCTGAGGCAGGAGAATCACTTGAACCCTGGGAGCAGAGGTTGCAGTGAGCCAAGATCATGTCACTTCACTCCAGCCTGGGCAACAGAGCAAGACTCTGCCTCAAAAAAAAAAAAAAAAAAAAAAAGCACACACCTTCAGTTGAGATGGCAGTCAACAACATAGGCAGGTTTGGTAACCACTGGATGTTGAGGAATGACTGTGTTATTAACTGCTCTCAGATTCTGTACAAAACTTCACCCTCTGCGGTTTGGAGTATGGGCTTGTATAAGAAATAATCAAGCCTCTTTTCATATGATCCAGAATTATAGGTCTTTCCCTTCCTATGCCTCTGATCTTAGAGAGTATTGTTTAAGATTTGGAAAAGGTTTTGATTCATTTATTTCAATTTTAATTCGGGCAGCTAAGATAATTTTCCCAATATTGGTGGAGAATTTTGACCACAATTGATGAAGTACAATTTTTAATCTTTTTAAAATTTTTTATTAATATAAAATATGAAGTTCAACACTTCATGAACTTAACATATCATCTTTATGCAGGGGGCACACGAATTTCTGCATCATCCCGATTTTATCATATGTGCTCCTGAAGTGAGCACTCAAGTACTATGTTTAACAGCTCATAAGTAACTCTTCATTATTTAACAATCTAGTTTCCTCTATGACAATATGAATTGTTATTTGTGAATAAAAAGCATCAGAATTTGAAAAAAATTTGGACCTAATAATTCTATTTTGTCTTGTAATTCTAAATACATTTCCCCCCTTTTGAGGGAAAGAGAGATGAGTGTTCTGTAACTCCAGGAAGTCTCTCCCCATCAAGTGGTTGAAGGCTGAGGGGCAAAGAGGAGCACGTTAGGTTCCCTATAGGGGACCTAACTGAGAAACTATAGGTTGAGATTGATATAGCGGTATAGGAGTATTTGTTACCCCCATCATTTGTGTTGTTTTTTGACTCCGAGGAATGGAACCTCACTAGGTGAGATTTATCACTGATAATGTAGCTCCAGTGTCAGTAAGAGCTTGTGTTTGGCCTCCATTTAAATTAATTCTGACTTTCCTGAAGGTGTTATAAGGAGGAAAGAAAAGATGCGTTTTGTTTCCTCACAGCATCCCTTTCTTTTTCTTCCTGTTGCTGTCCCTTCCATTTTCCTTTTCTACAATCTGTTTTGAAACGTTCGGGCTTTTTTTCAGTAATTGCAAAGCAGGGGACTGGGTCAGTTTGGGAACGTTTTTAGGCTGTTCAGGGGTTACACATTGGTTGGACAATTGTATGAATTGTAAACTCATGGTCTTATTTGCTTTTCTTCCCTGCTTAGCTTCCCTTTCCTTTTATTTCTGGGTTAAGGTACAGGACATTTGATCAGCAAAATGAACTAGATCATGAGTTTGAGAGGTACCCCAAATGGGGTGTTGTCTTTTCATTGTAACTGACAATTCTTCATCTACACCATTTACAAAGCTTTAGTTAAGGAGAGTATCATTTTGGCAATGAGCATAACTTTCTTCTGATAAGCCTGAATATTATTTAATATTTTTTCAAAATGTTCATAGTATGACATTATAGGCATATCAGGATTTTATTTGCATGGTTGTGTTTTGTTCCAACCTTTAGAAACCTAAGGGAATAGTGGCCAGTAGACCTTTGGCAGTATTGCAGGACCATTCTTGATCCTCAGGAACTCTATGGATGTCCTCTAAAGGATTTCTCCAACTTCCCTTTGCTATCTAATGTTTGGCTTTACTTTCTAACACTAAATATGAACCAATTGATATAAATCAGAAAATCTAGGATCATAAGTGTGAATGTTTAATTCAAATTCTCTGGTAAATTGTGCTCACTTCAGCAGCACATATATAAATTCTCTAGCAAATTAACCAGGCATCATGGTGCATGCCTGCAATCCCAGCTACTCAGGAGGCTGAGGCAGGAGGATTACTTGAACCTAGGAGGTGGAGGTTGCAGTGAGCGGAGATCATTCCACTACACTCCAACCTTGGTGACAGAGCAAGACCCTGTCTCCAAAACAAAACAAACAACAAAACAAATGCTCTAGCAAATCCAGTAGGGTCCTGAAGAGGATCCAGTAATTCTTTAAACCAAGGCAGATTCTCCTCTACTGAACATAGGGCATTCCCAAAATGGAGTCAGAACAGCAGGGGGAGGAGGAGGCAGGGGAGGAGGGGGAGGAAGAGGAGGAGGAGGAGGAGACAGAGGCAAAGGAAGAAAGAAGGAAGGGAGGGAGAGAGGGAGGGGGAGGGAGGGAGGGAGGGAAGGAAGAAGGAAAGAAGGAGGAAGGAAGGAAGAGGGAGGGGAGGGAGGAAGGGAGGGAGGGAGGGAGGGAAAGTAAGTCCAAACAAAGAAGTTTTGACAAAAGAGAAGGAAGAGCTGAAGAAGGAGAGATTTCAGCAGTCTTTTTCAATTAAAAAAATTTTTTTTAGGCACTTTTGTTTTCTTCTTGCAAGGAAATGATTTATCAGAACCTCTTTGAGAAGCTTCTAAGTACCGCGGAAATCAATCTGCAGTTGTTTTATTTTAGAGCCAGCTTTTTCTAATTAAGTGTGCAAACTAGTTGAGGTACTTAAAATGTACCCCCATTTGGCAATATAATTTGGTTATTGTCAGTTATGTGGGACCATTTTTCTAAATATTTGCATATAAAGGTACCATAAATATTAAACATGAATCTAGCTGGTGTCTCTAAGGGTGGATCTCTCCATAAGGAGGAAGACTCAGCTTTAGAAGTGTGATTGCTCATAATTTAGACTTTACTTTTGAATAACCAAAGAGACCTAGTGGGAGTTTTATTATTATTATTATGCTTTAAGTTCTGGGGTACATGTGCAGCATGTGCAGTTTACACAGGTATATGTGTGCCGTGGTGGTTTGCTGCACCCATCAACCTGTCATCTACATTAGGTATTTCTCCTAATGTTATCCCTCCCCTGATCCCCCACTCCCTGACAGGCCCCAGTGTGTGATGTTCCCCTCCCTGCGTCCATGAGTTTTCATTGTTCAACTCTCACCTGTGAGTGAGAACATGCAGTGTTTGGTTTTCTGTTCTTGTGTCAGTTTGCTGAGAATGATGGTTTCCAGCCTCATGCATGTTCCTGCAGAGGACATGAACTCATCCTTTTTTATGGCTACATAGTATTACCTGGTGCATATGTGCCACATTTTCTTTATCCAGTCCGTCATTGATGGGCATTTGGGTTGGTTCCAAGTCTTTGCTATTGTGAACAGTGCCGCAATAAACATACGTGTGCATCCGTCTTTATAGTAGAGTGTTTATAGTCCTTTGGGTATATACCCAGTAATGGGATTGCTGGGTCAAATGGTATTTCCGGTTCTAGATCCTTGAGGAATCATGACACTGTCTTCCACAATGGTTGAACTAATTTACAAATGGGAGGTGTTTTGAACTGAGTGTGCTGATTGTGGTAATAGCTCTTCAAAGTATCACCCTTGAGTCAGTTCCTCTGGTTTATGTGTCTTGATGGTCCCAAGAGACTTGAGGGCTTAAGGCACTAGGTGATCAACCTCTATGTATGCTCACAGGATTAAGCAAGTTTCCCTGTGTGTTATTCTGGAGGGATTCCCTTTAGAACAATTTATGTCATGAGTGATAAGTGCCAATGCTCCCTCAACACCTAACTCACTTAAGGTGCCTTTTGGCTGGGAAGGACAATGTCTCTTATCTTCAGGACTTATCTTGTCCTCATAGAAAGCCTTTTATAATATTGTCACTCAGAAAAAACCTTTAGATTTGTCAGTTGAACCAAGCTTCAGAATCTGACCAGCTCTAAAATTTACAAAATTTTCACTTAAGCCACAGATATTCAAAGAGAAACTGTTTGCTCCCTAACCAAAATGTGGAACGAGGGAAAAGGTTGAAAAATTCCAGGCAGTAGTTCCAAACAAAAGAAAAGTGAACATCACAAATCTTCCATTAGCAGAATCTCTAGAGAATAACAAACCAAACTCCTACCCTGCGGTGGAACTTCAATTCTAACCCCCTTGACTTGGGAATGTGTATGATGCAAACAAAGTCTGAATCCTCCACCGATCCAGAAGAATGCAAACTTGAAAGGGGCCTTACCAGAGATTTGCATAGTCTGTGAAGTCAGGAGGATGAAAATCATCACCTGTGCTGGTACCAAGGCTCAACTGTTGACAAAGCGATGAGGATCTCCGAAGTTCTGCTTCAAGTCCCGTCATGGTTGCCAGCATTTCAACCTTAAGTAATGAGATTCAGAAAATATAAATTTGTACAGGGTCTATTCAAACACGAGCCTTGAGGATGGCTACTCGGGAAGCACTGACTACAGGCAAACAAGGTCAGTGTTCCACAGTGGAGAAGCTAAGGTCTCACTTAAATAGGCAGAGACAGGAATTTTAGCAGATTACAGCGTTTTCCTTACAAGACCAGTACCTATATGACAGCAGTTAGATTGCTTACAGCTTGCTGCATCCCAAGGAAGATCACTTTATTACTCCATGACGGGGGTAGTGCTGGAGGGAGTCTTATGGCTGAGGCCATTTGGTTTCCTAATTATTTACGAGAAAAAGGCAGAAGTTGCAGCTGCGTCTGGTGTGACTCCGACTGCATAGCCACCCTCCACTTGAAGTTCAGAATAATTCAAATTTCCAACAGCTTTAAGTTTGAATTATTTAATTTCACAGGAGGTACCCTGTTCGAACACTTGTATGTGTACGTGTAAACATGTCTCTTTTCTACACTTACGCTTGATAGACAATTTGGTTAAATATATAATTCTTGGTTAAAAAAATAACTTACCCTTGGATATTTGAAGGTGTAGTTCCATTATCTTCTTCCTTCCACTTGAGAAGTTTGATGCCATTCTTATTCACAAGCTTCTGCTCCTGAATTTTCTCTCTCCACCTTATTTCCCCACCCCTACCAGAGTTTTTAAAGTCTTCTGTTTATCCCTAGGGTTTGAAATTTCGTGATAATGAGTCCTTTGTTGTCACTGGTTTATGTTATTTGGTGGGAATTTTTTTTTTTTTTTTGAGACAGGGTCTCACTCTGTCACCCAGGCTTCGGTGCAGCAGCATGAGGATGGCCCACTACAGCTTTGATCTCTCGAATTCAGGTGATTCTACCACCCCAGTTTCCCAGGTGGCTGGGACTACAGGTATGTGCCACCATGCCCAGCTAATTTTTTATAGAGACAGGATTTCACTATGTTGCCCAGGCTGCTCTTGAACTCCTGGGCTCAAGCAATCCTCCTGCCTTGGCGTCCCAAAGTGCTAGGGATTATAGGCATGTGCCACTGTGCCTGGCCTTGTGGGATATCATTCGTTGAGTTTTACTCATTGGGCTAGATAACAAAAAGACCTTTTTAACAAGAGGCTCATGTTCTTCAGCTCTGAAAAATTCTCTTACATTATTTTATTAATGCTTTTCTCCACCAGTCTTTTCTGTTCTCTTTCTGGCACTCAAATTAATGAGGTGTCAGCCTTCCTGGACTGAGCATCTAATTTCTTATGTTTTCTCTTGTATTGTCCAATTATTTGCCTCTTTGCTCTGGTTTTGGATCCACTAAATACACCCTCTACTTTGCTACTGAGGTTTTC